GGTATTGAAAGGGAGAAATCATTTTCTCACAGGGAACTGAACCTGAGAACATACATACTTGAAGCTGTCAGCTAAAATCACGTTCCGCCCCTGTGGGTGATGAAGCAGAGAACACCAGTTTGTCCTGTATCCATAAGATGGCATATATTTCACTTTTCTGACATACTGCCTGCTTATATCTGTTGTTTCAGTATTATTATTAAAAGTGTCTTTTCTCACCCTAGCAGGTGGGTTGGGTTCAGTGGATAGAGCATTGGCCCAAGGACTAAAGGGTCTCAGGTTTGATTCCAGTCAAGAGCACATATCTTAGTTGCAGGCTCAATCCCCAGTTCCAGTTGGAGTCATGCAGGAGGCAACCAATAGATGTGTCTCTCTCACATTGATGTTACTCTCTCTGTGTGTCTCTCCCTCCCTCCCACACTCTCTAAAAATCAGTGGAAAAAATATTATCAGGTGAGGATTAATAAAACATTAAAAAAATAGTGTCTTTTCTCAAAATACTTTCATTTGGAAGCTAAATCATGTGGCTATCTTTTTTTCTTCAAAAATTAGTTTCTTTTAAAAAAAATATATATTTTATTGATTTTTTACAGAGAGAAAGGAAGAGAGATAGAGAGCTAGAAATGTCTTTGAGAGAGAAATATCGACCAGCTGCCTCCTGCATACCCCCTACCGGGGATGTGCCCGCAACCAATGTACATGCCCTTGACCGGAATTGAACCTGGGACCCTTCAGTCCACAGACTGACACTCTACTGCTGAGCCAAACCGGTTTCGGCTCATGTGGCTATCTTAATCACTCAAGACACTTTGATGGCAAGTGATAGAAGCTCAACTTGAATACCAGCTGCCTAGTTCTCTGAGTACCATCATCCAAGGTATGGCAGCTTTCAGGCTTTTGGAGAGTGGAGGGATGGCATTTACCTTCGTGTGGGAGTAAGTGCCTTTGCCCTAGGGAGGCTCCTATATCTTTTCGTTGGAAAAGGGAAAGCTCCTTTTTTGAGTTTGGTTCTCCCTTAAGTGTTGCTGGATAGGCTCTTGCTATTGCTGGTGAGATGCCGACTCTAACATGTTGACTCTAGATATGACTCTACAAAGGCCAGTCTACCCCTTCCTCTGGTCATAGACTTCATGAATATGCAGGTTAGGCAATTTTTATGGGTGATGCTGATAAGAGGCTATGACTGTCGCTGGAGTTTTGACTTCCAATCCATGCATTCATTCTCTATATCAAACAAACGTGCAGAAAGAAGAATGAAATAAATGGACAGCTAGCAGCAGAGCAGAGAGAGAAAACACCTTGGGTTTCTTATTCTCTAATCTAGGGGTGTCGAACTCAATCAGAGAAGGGGCCAAAATCTAAAATCCAGCCTAAATCGCGGGCCGAATGGTTTACTGAACAGTCATAAACTGTCATTGTGATGGAAACGCAGTGGAGTACAGTGATGACAGCGTGGTGCGGGCCACATTGCAAGGCCTGGCGGGACGGATTTGGCCCGCGGGCCTTGTGTTTGACACCTGTGCTCTAATCCCTATTGAGGCTGCTTCTGAGGTGCATTCTTGCCTTTAAGTTCCATAATGTGTCACTATTTCTTAATAATTATAATACCTTTATGCTTAACTTATCTCTAAAACCTTTCTGTATTTTACAGTCCTTATATTCCTAACACAAAATTAGTAGATTTAGTTTTCATTTGTGATTAAATAAATACCTGAAATTCATTTATTTATGCTTTTACCATATGAGTAGCAGATGCTCAATGTAGGCTAGTTACTGTGTTAGCTTCAGGGAAAATGGTAAGACAGCCATATTCCTACCCTCATGAAATCATCAAACCAGCAAGTACAGGCATAAGATTCTTCCTAGGCTGCTTCAAAAAATGACCACATAATCTACCAGTATATTCAGAACCTTGTTTATGCATCCTGGTATTTATAGCCTATGAAGAATCACTGACATGAACATTCTTTGCTTAAGAATGGTTTCATTCTAATAAGGCAGATTTGAAAAAAATATGAAGGTCTATTTTTTAACCAAATAATGCATGTATAAATATTATACATATTAAGTAAGATATAATTGTAAAAAAGAGTGGTTACTTTTTTAAAAGTATGCTTTATCATTTCATAAGCTTTTATATCCTGCTATGAGCATGCCTTAGAGATGAGCTTTACATGGTTGTTGGGTGGACTAGAATGGAAAAGACAATTCTTCTATGTTAGCCAAACCTCAATAGGGAAAACATTTCGTCTCATTTTGAGGGTGGGGGAAATTGTTCCAAACCCTGGAAGAAGCTTGAGAAGTGATTTGAAGGCAAAGGATCACTGATATCATTTTCTCAGGCTGAGTGGGTGAGGCAAATAAGGAAACAGACCAATTGCTTCCAGTGTTCCTTTTCTATGGGAACACATTATTGTGTCTTTGATGTTTATTAGTTTATCATCACTAACTGTAATTCCTAAGTACAGAACAGTCCACGGGTTTTCCTCATTGTGTGCACATTAAGACTGCAGATGAGGCAGAACAAGAACTGGAGTTACACCAGCACTAACTTAGGCCCTGCGGGACCTCCTGAGGACAATGGGGGCTTAGTTTAGGGCTTCTAGGAATGCTGATGGAAACTCTTCCAAGTGTATCAAGGAGTAGGGCTAGCAGAGTTTTGACAATTGTCAGCCAGTCTTTGGGGTTCTAAATAGGCAACATTATGCTGCTTATGATTCAGAAAGCCTGAAACTATACTTGGCCTTCTCCTAAGGCCACTTAAGACAACGCTCCTCCCTGATGGGATGCTCTATCCTCCAGTCTGCAGGTAGTGAGGTGAAGGAGGCAAGTTGCCTTCCTTCTGAATCTGTCCACAGGGATGGGAGGTCTGTATAGAACCAGCTCACAGTCCTTGCTAATGAGATCGAGAGTTCCCTGGGGCTGCTCACTGTTCCAGTGCTTTTCATGCACCAGTCATTTAATTCTCATAAACATGTGACAGATGCTATAATCATATCCCCTTGTAGATGAGGAAACTAAAGCTGGGAGAGTTAAAGTAACTTGCCCAAGGTGATGGACAGAAGTGATAAAGCTAGAATTTGAGCTCAGGCCCTCGGGCTGCGGAGTGCATGCTTTGAACAATTCCTTCTGCCTCTCCTTAAATGGCGGGCTGGGTGGCAGCCTGCAGTTGGCCCTCAGTAGGTGTCCAATGAAAATTTATTGACTCCATGAGTATGGGCTCATGGGAGTGCTTCTTGATTTGCCTGGAGGTGGGCTAACACTAAAATGTGCAGTCAGAGAGTGCGTATGTGGAAGGCTGGCCCTGCACCTTCTCCCTCCATGTTTGGTCTATTGGAGAAGAAAGCCTATGGATCCAGGGAAATGTTCTTAATCTTAAAACTAGTGAGTTCTTTCTGGGTCACATATCCCTTCCAAATCATATAAAAGCTTAGAACCCTCTCCACATAAAAATACACACACACACACACACACACATACACACACACACTTGTTTTTTTTGGGGGGCATGATGTCCTGGATTGTTTAGATGTCTACAACCTTCTAGGATACTAACAACAGAAGTTTTGGGCTATGATTTGGAACTTCTAATGTTCATACCCTTCATTTGCAAGCGAGTTATAGGAGTGCTTGCTTCATTCAGGTAAAATTGTATTCACACCTTCCTGAGGGACTTGCTCTTGTTTTTCTCCGTGGGGGAAGCTCCGGGTCAGTGTTGCCCTTGGCCGTGGGCACTCACTGGCTGTGCAGCTTTTGCATTCCATGGCGGGGCTCCAGACCGCAGGGCACCCTGCTGGGAGCGGATGTGTGAGCTCCAGGTTTCTGACATGAGCATTACTGATGACGCCCCTGCTGAAAGACCTCATTATTATCGTGGTCAATGCCGGCAGGACAAAGCGGCCATTCTCAGAACAGAGGGCTATCTGTTATTGTGAATTGGATATTTTTAATTATGGTATTAAATTGGCCAGAGGATTACAGTGCTGTTTTGGGCATGAGTTCATGTGGGCCGCCTCTCTTAATATGGCAACTAAGTAGCGTATGCTTACTCACCAGCCTCCTTTATCTGAGTTGTTGGGAAAGGCAGTTGCCAAAAGGAGCCATCTATTTGAAGAGTTCACAGTTTCGGTAAGAGGAGTGCGCAGTGGAGGTGAAGAGCATAGGGAAAATGACTCAAATCTTGATATAGTATGAAGTCTTCCATGAGACTGCGGAAATATAAACATTGCTGGAATTGATGTGTGTCAGTTCTCAGCCCAAAACTAGAAGTCTTTGATAACTTAGGGGAGAGGGTGGTTGGGTTGTTCTGTGAAAATACACCACATTCTTGAGCACAGTGAAGAGCAATAGGATGAATGGAAGCAGCAGTGGGTGGAGAGATGAAGACGGGGATTCACTTTTAGTTCTGCCAGTAACAACCAATGTGATCTTCAATAGACTACTACCTCCCTGAGCCTCAGCCATGAAGAAAAGGGGTTGCATTGTAAGGCCCACATGAATTCTGAAATATTATGATTTTATGAAAAGACAAGATTTCTTCTTTTCATTTTTGTGTTGCTGCAGAGCACTTGAATCTGATAGTTGAACTCCCTGGAATCTGTGTTTCGTGTTCCCTTAGTGCAGGCATAGGACTTCCAAATGCATCCTGACATCTTGGATACACTTAAGGATTGTTCCCTTGAGAAATTAACCCAATGATTAGAATTCACTTTCCAATTTCTCTGAATTTTACTTTCAGTATCAAGAGCAAGACATTTTTAATTATTTTGTGTTTGCCTCCGACAGTATGATAAGTATCCAGGTAATAATAAGACCTATGCCTTTGCTTTTTTCTCCCCTAAATTTTGTCTAATTCTTTCCTTGTTTAATTTTTATAACAACAATATTACTTTTTTTTCATGTGGGAAGTCCTAGGAGTTAATTATAAGAGGACCTTGTTTAGCTGAATTATTTATTCATAATTTAAGTCACTTAATTTCCATGATTTTAATTTTCCCAAATATCAGCTTCCCACATCGTGGCCTGTAGGCATTCTAAGAAGCCTACAGCTAAAGCACATTTAGAAAAGAATAAAAAAGAGAAAATAAATAAATCAACTTTATTGTATTTATGTTTTCAAAAGACAGGAAGGGGATAGGGCATGATATATTTTGATGCTAATATGTACAGCCTTAGGGGGAAAACATGAGGGGGGATTAATGATGTTGACATAAGTTGGATTATTTGAATGTCACATCAATTTTGATATTTCAGTTAAAAAACAAAACTATAATCTTATCACAAAGTTTTACTCTATTGGAGAAACATTTATTTGAAAAGCTATATAATGAGAAATGTTTTTGTTTATCCCCACAACTAGCTGGTGATGATTTTGTGGAGATTTTCTCTTAAAATTAGGCTTCTTTTTACATTCTGGTCTCCTCTAGAGGTCGATTGATGAAGTCTTGAATAGCCTGATGCAAAGGAAGCCATTTCTTGATAGACATTTTCAGAGCTGTAATCCAGCTGCAGAAATAACAGTGCATGACAAGTTATTAAGAAATCATCCCACTCTAAGAAGGTGAAATGTTACAAAATCATTTCATTTATTTTTTAATTGTTTCTCTTGGTTGTTTAGCTTAATAAAGTGAACAATTCTTCTTAGGTTTTGGATTAAACAAAAATGTAAAACACCACATGAGAAATATACAATTGTAGTTCTGAAATAAAACTATGTTCATATAAATAATAGAATCAAAAGAGGGTACAATATTTGTAAATAGTGAATAATGAAACTATAGGACCTTAAAAAATATTTCTGTTTCTATTTAAAAATAAAGTATAATTGCCCAAACATATAGCAATCAAATATTTAGTTAGGTTAAATAATTCTGTGTTAAATTTTGGAAACCATCACAGTTAACTTTCTTTTCTCCCCCCCCCCCCTTCCTTTCATTTTCTTGGATGATTTTTTTCAAAAGTGCATATATAACATTTATTCTAAGGGTGGTTAATAGGTATTATTTAAAAAATGGTTTGGGTCAGATAAGTTTGGGTAATGGAAGCTATGGAACATTAACCAGGATTCTTATTATCAGGGCAAGGTATCTTAATAAGTTAGTGTGCTTTGTGATTATCTAAGAGGATAATATTTTATATAATTTCTTACACTTATTTTTTGTGTAAGAAAAGTAAGTGTAAGAAATGATATAAAATGAACCACTTTGTGAAACTCTTGCTCTTATGCTTTGAAATATTTCTGTAATGATTACATATTGTTTCTTTTTTATAATATCCACTGATAGATTTGGTGGTGAGATCTAACTATTCAACCTCCTCAGAGAAGCCAGTCCATTTTATTGAATAGAAGTTAACTCTGTCTCCTGAATATGCCAACTGGAGCTTCACCTTCAAGGGAAACATAGTCATTTGCCACCCAAATTGTCTTGTACCATCCCAAGGAAGAAAAGCTTGGATAATATCTATCAATTCTATATTCATTTTCCTCTCACTCTAGTCTGCCCTTAGGAATGAATGAAACAGACAAGATTTACATATGGGGGAAGGTTTAGGGAGATCCTTTTTCCCTTCCTCAAATAGTCACTTGCTGGTGATCCTGAAATTCTACTTTCAGAGTTTTATTCCTTTGAATTAAAACAGTGTATGTAGTTCTTGCAAATGTCTCTGGGAATTTTATTACATCATCTGTTTTAATAAATTACTGTGAATTTTTTTATTAGATACTTGTTATTAGTTTTAGTTAAGAAAAAGTGTTTATATGAGGTGAAGAATGATCACCAAGTGGTTGGAGGGCTCGGCTCTGTTGGGGATTGGAGTTAGGACAGGGAGACTTGAGGGATGCAGGAGGACGCTCTAGACACCAGAGCACACTTCCTTTGCTTCCTGATCTTGTCTTTCTTAAATTTAGTACTTTTTCTTCTCCAGAATCATTATGAATCAAGTGCCCATTTGTACATACCAAGTTGTATAATCAACATATCGAATTAGATGGATAAGTCTCATGTTATTCAATGGCTTATGACAAAACAAAACAAAAATGATCAAATTCAGATGGTCATATCAATAAGAGTTATGTGATAGGAGGTGAAATAGCAAATCTGAATTAGTAAATTACAACCTCACACAAATTATGGTATTATTTTTTTATGTTGAAGCCTGAGTAAGTCACCTCCTTGGGAAAAAATGTGAACTTCCTTTTTTTATTTGAAAATAATACTTTGAGAAGAGTCACATGCATTGAAAGAAAAAGAATCCTGGGTAACAGTAATTATGGAGGGATTATGCAAAGAAAGGGAGTGATTTGATTGAAGATAAGAGTTGAAGTTGGAAAATAAGAATAAGGGTTTGTTATAAAGGCTCTTGCCAGGACTAATAAAGAAGAAGAAATGTGCAGATCTTGACTTACCGTTGGTTTTCTGTTTTATTTTCTGCACAGAAATAGAAAGTCTTGAATTCTTCAGATGGAGGTGTAAGTTCAATTATTGATTGCTTGAAGCTAAGAGTCTGCTCATTGACCCTATATCCTTGCAGATATAGGCCACCTGTAGAAAGTGAAAGAAAAGAAAAAGCAAGTGAGGAGAATAGAGAAAGAGTTAAAATAGAGAAAATGAGACTGAAAAGATATCAAGAAAAAAACTTGCCTATGAAGTAAACTCTATTCCAGCTGTTCTTTTTTAGTCTTGCCATTAATGATTAATGGCAAGATTGGTAATAAAGTTTGGATTTTCTGTCTTTCATTTTTGCAATCTTCTTACTGTATGTTTGGTATTGAGCTTTGGTTTACTATGGGCCTACTAAGCTAGTTTCTTTACCTGGCGAACACATTTTGAAATAAATTTTTAGGTATCAAACAATATTACCTGCAATACCACATTAGAGGAAAATTTAATGATACTGGTTGGGCAGAACTATTTAGGCATCTTTCTTTAAAAAATATTTTTTTATTGCTTTCAGACAGAAAGATCAATGATGAGAGAGAATCATTGCCTGGCTGCCTTCTGCATGCCCCCATACTGAGGATCCAGCCTACAATCTTGAACCATGACTTCCTGGTTCATATGTCAATGCTCAACCCCTGAGTCATGCCACCCAGGAAAGGCATTCTTTCTGAAGAATAATGTAGACTGCCAGCAGTTTTTATAACCAACACAGATTCTTACCTTCTTTGTGCATATTTAATGCACAGCACATTTAAAATATGAACCCACAGGGTGAAGTGAGGGAGCCAACTTGAATTAAAATGAGAGTAAATGACTAGTTTTAGAAGATAATTTCCCCCCATGGTCCTTTGAATCTATGTTAGTGGTTACATATTGCTTGGCATGGAATTCCTTTCCATTATTTGGGGGTTTGGGAGAGGATATCAATGTAGAAGGTGCTGAAAAGTCAAATGCTTGAGTGTTGTTTTTTTATTTTTTATGGTGTCTTGATGCTTTGAGGTAACCTGCATCTCATGCGGAGACTTTGGGCAGCATCATTAGCAATGATGATGAGATATTTAAACCTCTCTCTTGCTCTTGCTCTTTTTTTTTATTAAATGTATTTTATTGATTTTTTACAGAGAGGAAGGGAGAAGGATAGAGAGCTAGAAATATCGATGAGAGAGAAACATCGATCAGCTGCCTCCTGCACACCCCCCACTGGGGATGTGCCTGCAACCAAGGTACAAGCCCTTGACAGGAATTGAACCTGGGACCTTTCAGTCCACAGGCCGATGCTCTATCCACTCAGCCAAACCGGTTTCGGCACTCTTGCTAACTCTTGTTCTCATGTCCCACCTCCCCCTAGGAGTCACTTTAGTGCACTGTTCTGACAAAAATATGACTTGGATTTTTGCTACTCTAGCACAGTAACTATTTCATGCCCATGCATTTGTAAGGCACTGTCAGAGAAAATGTGGTCCCTTTGAATGTGGGTGACTTTTGATTTCCTTTTGGTACCAACGTGCACTGTCAGGAAGTAATATATTTTCTTTTATAAACTGAATGAGTGGCTTTTAGACTTTAAAAATTAAAGGAAAACTTTTATAAACAGAATGAGTGGCTTTTAGACTTTAAAAATTAAAGGAAAACTTGTTTATTTTATAAGGGGATTTAGATATAATAGTAAATTTAAAAAAAATTTCATTTAAAAAAGTCAATTTTAGAACTACTAGGAAAACATTCATTTTAGAAATGGTTGGATTTTTTTTTTATTATGTAGACCCAGTACAATGGTTTTTACTAAAATCAGAGAGTGACCTCTTTCTTTGCATTATATGTGTCAACTTTAATTTACACATCATAAAATTCACCCATGTTTAGTGTATAATCAATGATTTTCAGTGTATTAATGGAGTTGTATAACCATCATCATAATCTAACTAGAGGCCCGCTGCACGAAGATGCGTGCAATAGGTCTTCCTTCACCTGGCCGCCAACATCGGTTTTCCTCTGGAACCCGAGACCCAGGCCTTTGCTCTGGCCACTGCCTTCCACCTTCGCTCTGGCTGGAGTTTTTGCTCTGGCTGGAGTATTCACAGGCTTTGCTGACTCCAGCCAGAGTCTTCACTTTGCTCCAGTAGCTCTCTCCACCCCCCACCCTCTCCCTCATAGCAGGTGTCCTGCCCTGCCCAGCCACTCCATGGAGTGGCTGGGGGTGGGGCTGCTACCATATTTGTCTTGCTAATTTACATATTCCCTCCTGACTGCCTGGTGGGCATCGTGTGGAGGTACGACTAATTTACATAGTTCTCTTTTATCCGTGTAGATTTTATAACATTTTCATCCCCTCAAAAAGAAGCTTCATATATCTCTCTCTCTCAAAAAGAAGCTTCATACCCATTTGTAGTCATGCCTCATCTGCTGCCCAAACCTAACCCTAAGCAATCTAAACCTATTTTCTGTGTCTATAGATTTACTTTTCCTGGAACACTTAGTATGAATGGAATTATACAATATGTGGTCTTTTGCGATTGGCTTCTTTCATTTAACATGATGTTTTCAGGATTTATCCATGTTATATCATGTGTCAGTACTTCATTTCTTTTTATTGTATGGATATATCACATTTTATTTATTGATTTATTCACTAGTTGATGGATAATTGGATTTTCTTCAAATTTTTTTATGAATAATATTATGAATATTCATGTACATATTTTGCATAGATATGTATTTTGGGGGTATGTGCTAGAAGTGGAATAAGGAATGTGGTAGATGTTTCAGGACTTTAGGTTACCTAATGACAATTCAGAGGGTAATTTCGCTGTTTTAATTTTCTGCTCTAAACTATAGCACACAGCATTTATATCTTGCTACACTGGTTTCTGACATCTTCCTGCTTATGAGATTTCCTTTTATAATCTATCTGAGCAGCTAAGAATATCCTCCTCTAGCCCTACTCTTTCTTAGAATGGAGAGAAGATACTGTCCAAATGTGTCTGCTACAAATAGGAAGGTTATCTGACCCCTTTTCTAACTAGTTATAGTATAGAAATGATTGGCAGTGAAGACATCCAATTATAACCCAATTACCTCATTTGAGGTGACCTCATTGGGCTAGTCTTTATCTGTTCCTGGGCAACAGCAATAAATAGCAAGCTGGCATAATTTTGGACAGAGATTTCTCACAAAAACTATGCAAGCATTACATGTTCCATTTGCTCACAGACCTTGATGTGACTTATTCAGGAAGCGTAGTTAAAAGTCACAATTTGTTACTTCCAGCTTTGGCTGGAGAGAGATAAAAGGGGAAAAAAATCAAGTATATGGTGAATGACAAAGTACTTCAAGCCTGTAAAGAGGCACTTGACTAAAGGGCTTCTAGAATCCTCACAAAATACCTCTTTAGTATTAACAGGCACAGCCAATCCATATTGTGAAAGTACCAGCACTTTCCTTGACAGTAAGGGCGGACTTCAGGGAACTGTCTGCGGCTATTTCTAACTCCCACAACACACATTAGCGGCATATTTATCTAGCTGAAAGTAAAATGTGGGATTCGCATCTGATGTGGTTTTTACAGGAAATCAGGGCTGTGTGGCTTCTCATATCTTGCTCTTTCTCCTCATTTCACTGTTATTTCTTCTTGTCTTCCCTTCCTTGTCCTCAGTATTGTCTTAGCATCTCAGATGACTGTTACAAGAAATAAGTCATGCTCGAAATATTACAGAAACTTTCAGAAGTGAGAAATAGCAGATGTTCATAAAGAACATCAATCAATGGAATACAGTGAATTAAAAAATAAAATAAATAGAAAAATGAAACAGTAAAGCAACAAGAATGCTATAGCCCGTGGGTCATGTCTCTTTGAAATGGTGACCACAGAAATAACTAATATGATCAAGATATTATAAAGATAACAGAAAGGAAAGAGCCCTTCTAAGGACTCTACGATTCTGAACAGAAAACTGACTGAATAAGCATATATTCAGAGACAGTATTTTTGTATTTTCCCAACTGTTTTGCCTGTGAGAGAAACATGTTTTCGTACATTTAGAACAAAATTTTAGGAAATGTTGTGGTATATCATGATATTTTCTATTCAATTCAATTCAAATTCTATTCTATTTTTAAATACTGGTCCCAACCTACTGCATTGATTGCATGACTCAGTAATGGGGTCAAAACCTGCAACTTGGTATAAATGATAATCGGTTTTGACCTTCACAGGGCTGGAGAACAAGGAACCAGACTAGGTTGGGATGTGCCAGAGCCAAGCAGAGCTTGGATAGTACAAGAAAGGAGGAATTTTTAGATTCAACCAGCACCAAGGCCACTCACTTGGCATCACTGGGAAAAACTGAAAATGAGTATAGGACTCTGTATAATCTTTATGAATATAATGATTCACATTCCATGCATGTAACACAATTAAGTTAAATGGCGTATTTGAGTGCCTGTAATGTTTATGACACATCATGGGTTCAGCCATTTCTCTGCTGTCCTCACAATTCCCATGGCTCCTGTGATAAATAGTTGGACTGCTGATGGCCAAAGTACAGAAACCAGACAAACAGCCCAATTGACTGAGTGCTACTTTCAGAAGACTACTTTCTGTCAGGGAGGACTACCTGTAGTACTGTGGCTAAGAGTTTGGGCACAGGATTCAGATAGCATTTGTTCACATTTTGTTGCTGTCACTAGCTGGTGACCATCGGATATTGTTAACTTCTCTAAGCCTTAGTTTCTCATCTATTATTATGAAATAACAGTGGATAACATAAGTATTGTACTTATCCAAGTCCTAGACACATAGGGAACATCCAGCAATACATGCTAACTTTCCCACTTCAATACGCCAGAGCAGTGTGGTCCAGTCCTCTAAAAAAATGTGGTTGACCAGGGCAATGGGGATGGGCATATTTATCCTAGGAATTTCCCACAAGAGATGTGGATAAGCACAGATCCTATCTTAGTTTTATTGTGCCAGATCACTCGCTGTGAACGTCGGTCATGATTGAAGTTAAAAGGTACAAGAAGGTCGAGCAGGACTCCCTGAAACAGATTGTAAAGGTCAATGTAAAATTGAAATCTAGGGAAGGGTAAAGACTTTAGGAGAGTTTTGGAACAGCCACCTGGTTAACCCTTGGAGACACTTCTGTGGGCCCCAGCAGCTGTCAGGGGGAATAGGGAGCAGGTGGCAGTAACATGCACCTTTTCGAACAAGGTATGTGCTCAGGCAAGTGGTATTTTTTTTTTTTTATTCAAGGAAGAGCAGAGTCATGTAAAACTAAAAACCACAGGCCTCTATTTTAGAACATGCCTAGATATACAATTTCTGTTGGAATTTCAGTAAGGAAAATGTCCTTTCAATCATATATGAAATAATTTGGGCTAGAAATTGATGACGTGTGGAGATAGGTATATTCAAGACTTAAGGCTGAGAAAGAATGAATGGCTTCAGATTAAGTATTTTTTTAAACCACAAAATAATATATTTTCTAAAAAGGAATTAGAAAAATAACTTAAAAGAGTGTGATATGGCAGGAAGGACAGGCATCTATCTATTGGCCTGAGTTCTGGTTTTATCTTTGAATTGAGTTTTCAGTTTTCTAATCTTTCTCTACTACTAAATGAGGGAATGACAAACTTCTCATGTTTCATGGGAATAATGGCCAATTGAGGTAACATGTTTCATTCATTCATTCATTCATTAAACATACATTATATCTCTGAGCATATAATGCTTTAGAAGAGACAGGATTGCTTAAATAAAGATAAAAATACAAAGTAGAGGGTGATAAGAGTCATAAAATAGGCTGGTGTGCAAGTTCAGAAAAGGGAGATGCTTGTTTATCCAGGACCATCTGGGTTTGCTTTATAGCAAAGACGGCTAACAATGGAACAAGCACTTGAAGGCAGGTAGAATCGGGACAACTTGTGTTAGGGAATCAGTAGGTGGAGACTGTTTTCGGGGAAGGAGTTAGCACAAGTAAAGAGATGGGTCAGAAAAAAACCAAGAGGATGTGCTAAGGAAATAGAATGTGACCATGTTTGGGTAGAGTGCAGGGTGCTTTAACATCAATTTGTTATTCCATTTATTGATGCATTCACTGGCTTGATTTTTTAAAAATTGATTTCAGAGAGGAAGGGAGAGGGAAAGAGAGATAGAGGGAACTCTTCCCCCTCCCTACATGGGATTCAGTTCTGTGGGACTTTCCCTCTCCCCATGTGGGAGTCTGTACTTGTTCTTTAATAAATTTCAACCTTTGCTATTAAAGAGAGAGAGAGAGAGAGAGAGAGAGAGAGAGAGAGAGAGAGAGAGAGACATCAATGATGAGAGAGAATCATTGATCAGCTGCATTTGTACACTCTCCACTGGGGATTAAGCCAGCAACCTGGGCATATGCCCCTACCAGGAATAGGTCCCTTGACCCAAACCACTGAGAACACCGGCCGGGCCTTTGGTTGAATCTTGTATGTGCCATGAACCGGGAATGAACCGGCAACTTTGGCCAGGCCCATTTATTAGTAGCTGTTTTCCAGTTCTCCAACTAGGACTTTCTAAGTAGGGCCTCCTCTGACCTTTCAGATTGAGGGAGGCCATCTAGTGGCTGCCACTGATATTTTAAACTTTTGGAATCAGCAGCTATCTTTGGCCCTAGGGGTTTGGCAGCACTGTGTTAATATTTCACTTTGGAGTAATCTGAGAATTCAGTCCTAAATATTTCCTCCCTAGCTATGGAAACAGTCTCTTGAAAATGAGCTTCATTGATTTGGGAATTAAAATGTTCAGACTTTTATTATGATACTTTATAACAAAAGTTCCAGGCAATGACCAGGTTGGAGGTTTGTTTACTTCATTCCCGTCCTGGTATCAGGTGCTTGAAGCTGTGGATTTGGACTTGAACAGGAACAGGCTGTCCTGTAAGTGCTTAGAGATGCCATCTATCTCTTAATAGTTGAATGATATTCTGGGTCATGTTTTAACTATCAAAACCAAAGGATGATTAAGTGGGGAGAATTATTCTATTATTCATCATGAATGATAAGAAATGGACCATGCTTGCTTTGTACCTCTTTTGTACCTTTTTAAGAAGATAGAAAATTGTCACATGATACTAAGTTGACATGTCTTTCTAGGTTAATTAAACCTAAGCATTAATGCTATAAAAAGAAATTAAATGAATGAGATTGCAGAATGTTCACTACTGCTAGTTATTTAAGGATTTTGGAAAACGTCCAATTGTAAACAAAACACCAATGATCTCTTTTGTAAAAAATGATAAGAAGGTTAAGTAATCTTTCTTGTAGAAATCAGGCACAATTATTTTATTATTAAATTGTATTTTTTAAATACTTGTTTTATGTATATATAGTTTTTAATATATACAATTTATAAATATAAAAAATGTACATATGCCTATATAGGAGTATAAAATATCAAGAGCTTTTTACGTAGAGAGCTTTCTATGTAGAGCTTAAGTTATTCCATTGGCAATCATTTGATCTTAACAATAATCCTGTGAAATAGATAGCTGTTTCCATTTTATAAATGAGGAAATAAAGTTTTAGGAACTTGCCCAGGGAAAGTTGACAGCTAAAGTTCTCTTCTTTTACTTACTTATCTAAGATTAGGGATACTGTGAGAAAAGGGTGGAGTCATTACCCATCACTACACTGACTCTGAATGTCATCAGTGTCCCAAAGAATGGAACTGATTTTTTTTATTTCCAGGCAGTAAAAGCATGGGGTCAGGGGCAAGGCTCTGGAGTTTGGCTGTGCTCAGAGCTCAGTCAATCTTGTCAAGTTATGAAGACTTTCCAGCCAGTTTTCTTCTCTGTAAAATGGAAATTATAGTAGTACCTCTTCTTTGGAGGATAATTGAGTTAATGTAGGTGAATTACAATACATAGCACAAGACTTGGTAAGGGCTCCATAAAGCTAACATGTCATTACTGCTATTATTGTAATCACTATTATTTCATGTGAAAGTTGAGTCCGTACCTGAGGCCTGGGTGGAGCGAATGCTGGCGTAGAGGTACAAGCAGCCATCCTTCAGAATGCAGTAGTGCTGGGCCCACACGGCTGTGCTTCTGTCCAGTTGGTGCAGAAGGCCCAGGCACTCTGGGTTCTTGATAGCCAGGGGAGGGAGGCTGCTGTTGTGCAGAGTGACATCTTCCCAGACGTGGTTCTGCAGGTGCGGCACAAAGGGAGCGGCTGAGTGATCAGCCTGCGCCAGAGATCCCCTGGGCCGGCGGCATCCCACCCAGGCTGTTGGACCCCATAGAAGCCACAGTTCTCAGTGACTCTATTGCTATGGCCATGTGAATACTTGAGCAACTGGCCAGAAAACCTGAATTCATCTCTTGGCCATAGAGAATGTCTCCCCTCTCATGTCCAAAGACAGCCCTTGTCTTTGGGTTCTATTGTGAGGAAATCAAAGGGACACCAGTGATGTATAGAAAGGAAATGGAAACAGGCATCTCAGCAAAGACTAGTTTGAATGGCGCTGTCTATGAGGGTTGGTCCCCGTTTGCCCTGTTCCAGGTAGGTCCACAGTGACTAACAGTAGCCCCTGGTTCATGCTCTACTTTATCTAGAAATCCCATGTGTGCATTGGAGCAAGTTAAATGCCCGTAGGCTCTATGGCTAGCCCACAATAAATCAAGACCCTCTACCCTGGAGGGTAGTCCACAGTCCATAGGCCTTAGAGGCGGGTTCTTCAGGGGAACTTGACCTGAGGCATAGGACACAGTGCTTTATCCCACTTTATCAGAACACCTGCCTGGCACAGGGCCAGTTTCTCTTTATTTAGTTTCAGTTTGGCTCTTTTGTTTTAACAAGGCATGTGAAAGATTTCAGAATGTGGAGCAGGCTTTATTGGTTGCTGTGAAGTGGGAGCCCGCTGGGGGTTTGGATGTTTCTTTTTCACTGGGCTGCGGACACTGAGGGCATTAGCAGCAAAGATCCCTCTTAAAATACTGACGCTCGCTGGGAGCACTCATTGAAGAGGTGGGTGCGTGCAGTGAGCTTTGTGTTCCAGGCGATATGAAACACAAGTCCCGTTGTTTGTGATATGACGATGCCAGCGATTGTTCTGGAAGGACAGTTACAGGGCACGGGGCAGTGCACTCAAGCTCAAACGAGGCGAATTTTCCAAAATAGGCACGTGCCAACCAAAATATGTACAGAAGGTAACTGACTGAAAATGCCTTTTTGCTTATATGCCATTTTGTGAGGAAATGAACATGTTTAAAGGGAATCAATCCCCTTGTTAGAAATCATACACAGAGTATAAAAATGGAACAGTTGGGTATTAAATCAGTTTTCCTTACTCCCCGCCTCCCCCAGGTCATAGCATGAGCTCAGAAAAAGGAATATCAATGTCTTCAGGCTAATGTGATGACTCACCTGTTGGTGTTATGAAGTTATCTGTCAGTTTATAGGTCAAATCTAAGTTAAAAATTATACTGCTCCAAGGCTAGGAATCATGAGCTAGCAAGGACAGTGCAAGAAAAATGGCCTAATATGTCACCAGAACAAGGATATGAACTTAGACATTCATTTTCTAATAAGCTGCTTGGCCCACAGCGCTATCCCAAGCCATTCCGGACACCTTGGACTTTGGGAATGAAAAGAAAACAGCAGCAGTGTCTAACCTCACAGGGAGCTACAGGATTGCTCTCTGTGAAACAAATTCCACCCCCTTTGTATCTCCTCACTGAGCTCAATGGGAGCAGCGTCTCACACACACACACACACACACACACACACACACACACACACACACACACTCCTGGAAAGAAAAAGAGCAGCAGGAATGCAAGCTCCCCTTAGACTCTGACTAGGAAACCCTATTGACTTAAAATCCTCTTTCCCAGCTTTTAGAGCAGATCCCAGAAGTCCCAGGGTGGACTGCCCAGCATCTGACTTGATCCTTTGCCCCTCTGAGTAGAAAACCAGAATGAAGGCCGACATAAATATCAAGAACACTTACCTGGTGGACAGGATGGGCCGCTTTGTCCATTGCCTCAAGCCACCTGAAAGACAGTAAAATGAGGGGTGCTTTCCTTGGGGGTCCCCGATAAGTGCCATTTGGAGGGGCTGGCTGTTCTCCCTGAAACCCATCAACCAGGCAGAACAGTCCTAAGGCTCACACATATTTTACTCTCTTAAGTTCATGGTTGAAGGGCAACACATTCTTACAAAATTACTGTTACGAGGTGGCAAATCCCACTCTTGTCAGGCATATTTAAAATAAATTCTTCTTCTCTACTATAGTTTAATTAGTGCCTTAGAGCAAACTCATTCATTTTTCATGTTCCTAAGGCATGTGCATTTATTAATACCAGCAGGGCTGATAACAACTCATGTGTTAACTGCAAGGCACTGGTTGTTAAAATATGGGAAGACTGGTCAGCAGTCACTCTCAAGTGTCTCTTGGGCACAGTGGTCTCCTGTAGGGAGCAATTAGTGCCTCTACTTGCGAAGTGAATTTTCTCAGTCCCGTTTCCTTAGCCATGACCAGCCTATCCACTCCAGGCCATTCCATCTTGCCAATCTTTTAAAATTTCCTTTTGAACCCCATAATTTCCAATCGAACCACACAGCTTGCTCTTTGTCCAAAAGTTTGACTGAGTCCCTCTTCCTCCTCTGTTCCGTTTCTTCTTATCTGATTTGATATCACACCCTTCATAAACTCCTCCCTCAGCCCTTCCCCAGAGACCTTCTCTCCTCCCCTCAATTCCTGTGCCACCTTTGTCTTCTCCTGTAGCACTTCTCAATTTCTACTTTGAATTAAAAATATTGGAATAAATGCCCTATATTGTTAGTTGAGAGCTTTCTAAAGGCTTCGTCATATTAATAGTCCTAGAAACCTTAAAACAGTCTTTTTAAAAATATATATATATTTTATTGTTTTTTTTTTTACAGAGAGGAAGGGAGATAGATAGAGAGCTAGAAACGTTGATGAGAGAGAAACATCGACCAGCTGCCTCCTGCACACCCCTCACCAGGGATGTGCCCTTGACTGAAATTGAACCTGGACCTTTCAGTCCGCAGACCGACGCTCTACCACTGAGCCAAACCGGTTTCAGCCCTTAAAGCAGTCTTATACACATTAGTGCTCTCCAATAAATGCAGGGGGCGGGCAAAAGTAGGTTTATAGTTGTGAGTACGCAAAAACAGTTTATTCTTACATTATTATTTATTAATTATTGTATTATTTTCCATATGAACAACTGTAAACCTTCTTTTGTTTCACCCTGTATTTTGTCCATGAATTAAAATGCAATCACGTCGCTATTGTCATATTTCCCTGTTAGTCCTTTGAAAAAAAACCACATGCATTTGACATATAATGTTCCACATATAGGGACAATATATTGTTGTCCTACGATGTTCCAGACCCAGGGTTCTCTTTAAAATTGGAGCTGAGGCCAAATTCTCTTAAAGAGTTATAACATTGACACTAACTCTGTTGAAACACTCATTACCTCTGTGCCATTGTCTCCTTCTCCCTTATCCATCCCATCCCTCACCCTAAATTAGCAGAAGTTACACGATAGTTGGCAGTTGACACATTGGACTGACCAATGACCTCCATTCCCTCAGGGTGATACATTGAATAATGATCCTAAGTCTCCAAATGAATGGAGTTTATAGGTTACCTCTGAACACGTCTACCCTCTGATTGGGTGGTATGCTGACAAGTGCCAACTGGATTCATTCCTCATCAAGCCACATTACTATTTATGTTGCTCACCTCACTGTAGTGTGCTAAGTTATAGCCACACCACATCACTTTTATGCCTGAGATTACCCACTGAATTAGCTTAAAATAAATAAATGCAGTAACTTTTGGGGAAGCTATATATGAACTGTGGCATTATTGAGTTTTTTAGGAAAATGTGGAGATCCAAAGTATTGTAAGTACGTCAGGAGAAGATACTTCTCTTCGTTAGAAATTCTGTTAGAAAACCTGAGGGGATAGTAAAGGACCAGACTTCTCACACGTAAAAAACAGATACTTTACTGACTCCTGCTATTAATTTGCTGTTCCAATCCCAATAATCTAAAAGACTGCTGTTGAAGAAGCACCCCCCTCCAGTGAATCCGGTGAGATAAAAGATGAATGAATTACCTTTTCATTTCTTGGTTGGAAGTTGCACAGAGGCAAAAAGTTCTATTTCCAGGTTGAGGCACACAGTTAAACACAAATGGTTTTCCCAAACTTCTGTCCATGTCAACTTCTGCGCCTTCCAATTTTATTACCTCTAGAGGGGGGCACTTCCCTTCATCCTGCAAGTGATACGGAAGAGGGTCAGCATGGGTGCTGCAACTAACAGATAAGGGAGAGAATGAGAGAGGAAAGGACTCCAGTTATTCTTTGAATTGATTGCTTGTTCTGGAATAAAAATAAAACCAAAATGAGTTTTTGTAGATTATGTCTTCCATGATACACTCCATGGTACTCCAACTTTCCAGTGAGGATATTTTCCCACATCCCTTCTGAAGAGCATCTATTAATATGCTTCTTACCTATGCCATCTCATGAAAGTATCAGAAAAAAGAACATCAAATAAATTGACATTATAAAGTATATGTGATTGGTAGCGACATGAGATCTCTCTAGTTTGTGTCTAATTAACATGTATTTCATGCTCGTGTGTCAGGACCGCTTCTAAATACTTCACATATATTAATTGGTTTGTCTTCACAAATGCTCAGGAGGTAGTTACATTTATTATCTCTGTTTTACAGATGAGAAAATTGCAGTATAGTGAGAATAAAGAATACTTTTCTTTAAATGACAATAGTTTAGAATACCATGATATGTTTGCAAGACTAAATCATTTTACAGATATTTTGTTATTTATATTATTTCAAAACATCTTCTCCATTATTTATCCCTCTTTTAAAAAACAGCTATAAAATATATTGAGGTATATTTTACATGCCATAGTCATTCATGTACATGTACCATTCAGTGATTTTTAAATAAATTTATAGAGTCCTGAAACCATTGTCACAATGTAGATTTAGAACTTTCCTATCAACCACTACATTTTCTTTGAGCCAATGTGCATTCAATTGCTACTCTTGCCCCTCCAATCACAGGCAATCAGAGATCTGCTCTTTGTCTCTATACATGTGCCATTTCTGGACATTTCATAGAAGTAAAATCATATACTATGTGGTTTTTTGACTGGCTGCTTTCCCTTAGTGTAATGTTTTTAAGCCTCATTCATATTGTAGCACTTGTTAGTATTTCACATCTTTTGCTGAACTAAACAACTGTGGCAAAAATAGGTTTACAGTTATTTGTTTGGAAAAGAATACAATAATTAATAAATAATAACACAAGAATAAACTATTTCATGCACTCACCACTGTGAACCTACTTTTGCCCCACTCTGTATTCTGTTATATGGTTATGCCTCATTTACTTTATCCCTTCACAACTTTATGGGGACTTCTCTTTCCAGTTTTTGTCCATTTTAAATAATGATGCTAAGAACATGTGTGTGCAGCTCTTTATGTAGGCATATGCTTTCATTCTCTTTGGTAGATCACTAAGAGTGAAATTGCTGGGCCACATGGTAGGTTCAGCTTTCACTTCATAGAAAACTGGCAAGCTGTTTTCCACAGGGACTGTGCCACTTTACATTCCCACCAGCAGTGTACGAGTGGCCCGGCTTCTCCACACTCTCACCAACACCCTATTTTGCTTGTCTTTTTGGTAACAGCTGTCCTCCTGGGTATGTAATGGTATCTCCTAGTGGTTTTAATTTGCTCATTTCTAATGACTGATAATGTGAAACCCCATTTGTCACAGAGGTTGTTAACCAATTTTCGAAAACCAGTCCCTTTGAGATGCTGATGAAAACTATGGACACGCCACCAAAAAATGCATAATCATGTTTGTGTGCCTGTATATACACATGCATGTGTATGTGTGTATATATACCTACATGTGTATGTAAATACATGTGTGTGTGCATGTACACACATGCAAATATGTCTTGCAACTCATGGGTGAAAGGATACAAAGATATTCTTCCTCTAAAGGTAATATATCATAGTTGTATGGTACTTCAATTTATAAAATATTTTCATGGACTCTATCTTTGTATTCTTTGCAACCACTCTCGAAAGTAGAAAGCTAATGTTACACCATTTTCTAGAGAAAGAAACCGGGTCTTTTGGCTCTGCCTCCACACTACTTCTCTCACATGTCTGTCTTCTTGGGCCACTGCAATTTGGGAGACTGCTGACTCTCAGAGTCAGCACCTGAACACTGGGTAGTCAACATTTAAAGACAGAGTATTTCCTGAAGTCATCAGGTTTTCTTTGATAGTGACAGAAATCTGAAATTTTGTTCAGTTTTAGTAAATATTAGAAAGTTAGCATATCTTATAATAATTGCATATGGCTGGTACTATGAAGTTAGAAAGCAGAAGAATATATTTTCATTAGCTTTAGTAAGGAAAAAGAGTTTAGATGGCTATAAATCATGGTTAATTATTTATATAATTTCCCCAAGAGCATCTTAAACAAATAAAGAAAAATGAGCGAGAAAAGGGAAGCATAAATAAATCCTGGAGATTATATTTTCTTCTGCTCACTTGCTACAAGCAAATATTCACTGGGTCTGCTTTTGTTAGGGCCCATTATGCAGATAATATCATATATTGATGTCTCAGGGTCAGCCCTCTGAGGTCACTTTGGAACTACCGTGTTTCCCCGAAAATAAGACATCCTCCGAAAATAAGACCTACTTACAGATTTCCTTCTGAGTGAAATATAAGGCATCCTCCAAAAATAAGGCCCCCCCTAGGCTCTGTCTCAGAATGCTATTGCTAAACATGAGAGATTTGGTCCACTGATTCTGAAAGAAATAGAGTCACAAGAAAATCACCAGGAAATTCAGGAATTGGATTGTTATGATGATGTTCCAGAAGATGATGACATGATTGTCATTGAATAAATGAGTAAATTCTTGATACTGTAGGATTCCCAGTTTGTCTGGTTTGTGTTGACAACTACCGTACTACCGTACCATATACAGGTAATAAATTTCCTTTATTTTCATTTAACAATAAATGTGTGCCGTATTCTTCTTCATGGAAAAATAAGACATCCCCTGAAAATAAGACCTAGTGCATCTTTGGGAGCAAAAATTAATATAAGACACTGTCTTATTTTCGGGAAAACAGGGTACCAAGTTCTCTCACATCCTTTGCTGTTAGAACATGCAAGAGAGTACACTCATATGGCATATGACACACACACTGGAGGCTCTTTCCCCTCTGCTCCAATTGCAGCAGTGTGGGGAGAATGAATGATTGGTGAACAGACTAGATGGAAAATGAGGCTATTTGTCTGAAATGGTCTCTATCCTGGCCCAGATCCCATTGTCACTAATCTCACCTGCTGCCTCTCTGCCCATGATTACAAGCCTACTGTGGCCCTAGAAACAGCTGCAATAAAAACCATGGGCACAGCCTGTGTGGGAGGTGGGTGCTCCTGCAGCTATGCTTACTCATCTGACTCTTTCCTTGGGTTTCACCAGCCCAAGCACCTCCACGCTCCAATCCTGTGGAGACACAGAGTTTGGAAAAAGTTCTCTATTCAGTCTAATCCAATGCTACTTGGACTGTGGTTCCATGGTTCCCAATCAAATGTTTTCAAGAGATAAAAGAACAACTAGGATCCCTTTTCTATGTTGCAACTGTGCCCTTGGGGTTTTCAACTCTTCTCATAAGGAAAACTCAGTCCTTCAGTTTGGCAATGATTCTTAAATAGGGTCTGTTTGATTCTGCTCCTCTGGCTCTGCCAAAAGTCTCACTTTTGTAGGTATGGGTTTCTCAGAACTTCATATTCTCCTTTCTAAGATGTGAAAAGGATCTAGCTCCATTTAAAAAAAAAAAATTCCTGAGTTAAGTCAGAGATCCAGCTGCTTTATGCATGCATGATTGATTAAAATAGCAGGGATGGTGACGGGATTTGCTCAGGGAAGTCCAGAAGCTATCCACGGAGAATAAAGGAACTTAGGTTGCTTATGCCAGATGGCCCAGGATAATGTTGACATTGTCTATCATTTCTACAGCAGTAATCCCAAATGTCACACTGCTCAGCAAAGGGAAACAGTACACAATAGGAATGACAAAGACCCGCCCAGAGTGAATCCACTTCTACTTTAAATTATTTCTTATGAAGAAAAATAGACAAGGACATTTGTGTCTGTCTGCAACTTGGGCTCTCTGGTAAGACAAAGTTCCCTACAGATGTTTTTGAGTTAATTTACTTTGGTCAAAGTTTTAGCTTGAACATGCTAGATTTATTTTTTTTTTTTTTTTTAAATTATTAGTGTTAGGCCTCTTTGGCTAAGAAAGACAAAAAGCTGGGAAGCTATACCAACATATTTCCTTTTATCTCAAGGCACAGTCAGGAAAATCCACAAACTAAAGAGGAGGAAAAAGGGCATCTTTAGCCATGAAAAATAGCTAAATCGCAGAGGGAAAGCCAGAGCCAAGATACATTTAGAGGACAAGAAAGCATGTCCTAAAGCAACGTATCACATGAAAGCGTGCATGACTTATACAGCTAGAGTGCTATATTTAAAGCTGGTAGGTTGAAGCAAAATTGAAGAATGAGTGTCTCTTGGAGCCTTATTAATGATGCCGGGGCCCTTTATCGCTAGGCAGCAGTTTGGAAGCACCTTCCCCACTGGTGATGGACAACCACACTCCTTGATAGCTACAAGAGGATGGCCTCTGTCTGTGTCTTGGCTGATAGGATCAGGAGAGCAGCAAAGCCTGCAAAGGCAAGAAGGAGGGAAAGATACAAGAGTGCTTTTTCCCTCTAGTGATTCTGCTATCTTTGTCCTGTAATTAAATAAAAGTCTTGACTCTGGGCACTGTGAGCCCCTCACTACATCACTCACGATTATTACATGTATCTATGTAAGCATATGTTTGTTTATATTGGTCCAGAGGCCTGATGCACAAAATTCATGCAAGGGTTTCGGCCCTTGCAACCTTGGCTTCGTCTGAAAGGTTGTCCAGAAGGTCATACGGCTGTTCAGTCTAATTAGTATATTATGCTTTTATTATTATAGATGCTTTCTTTTCTTCCTTCCGTGTAGGCAAGAAAGGATGGATGAAGAATAGAGAACAGAAAGTAAAGCGAGCATGCAAGTCAGATGCATGTTTGTAGGTGGCAGGTGTTCCCCACCAGAGCTTCGTGGATTTCATATCACTCCCTTCGCTTTCATCACGAAATTGAGACAATGGCAA